GGAGATCATTTCCAGAGTTGTTGAATAGTTGTTGGGCATCTGAAAACTAAAAGGAATATTCTTTCGGATTAAGCCTCATTCCATTTCTTTTCATTGTTAACACATATGTTTCTTTCTCTCTAAAGTATTGGGTTACATTTCAGAAAGAAAAATGTCTCCTAAACGTGATTTATCAACGTTCTCAAAATAGAATCTGAAGAAGTGACTCCCAGATTAGTGGGAAGACAGCAAAAACAAACAGCAATGGAGATTTCAATAGCTACGATCTCATTAAGCTGCCCATTTCCAAATTTAGCCCGTAGGCAGTTTTTTTAATTAAAAAATATTTTTAACCTGAGTTCTTATTGGCTACGTGAAGTCTGGGTGGCTTCTGAATTCTTGGAAGTCATTCTCTTTTCTTCTGTAAATTTATGCTATCCTTTAACCACTTCAAAATAAATTAAAAACTGGAAAGAGAGAAATTCAGCCAAGCTACATGAGACTCCAATAACTAATGCAAAGCTGACTTGCGTTATGTAATTTCAAAATGGATGTTTCCTTGTGTCTAACTGGCCTTTTGAGGTCCATATTTGGCTGTTCAGTTTAGTCATGGTGGAAGTGTCCTGATTCAGATCAACAGGACAAAAGAATAATTAGGAAGCAGTACCACAGTACCACGACTTCTTCTGAGTGAAGGTTAGGAGGGAGAATGTGGTTCACGTCATTCATCGGCCTTGTGAAGTCACATGGCCGCTTACCTGGTTTTCAAATAGACTCTAGCTCGGAAAACAGGGATGCTGGCTGAGGCAAAATGGTGGCAAGTTACTTTTGGCTACTTGAGAAGACCAAATGGAAACAGCTTGCCGGGAAGGCAGAAAAGCCAGAGACCAGGGGGCGAAGCTCGCTCCAAGCACCACAAAGACACCATCACCTTGGTGGTGTACTCACAATCAGATGACCCGGTGTGAGCGTGAGAGTTTGTCAGTGAATGTGTTGAGTGGATGAGGGCTGGGTCTGGAGACAAAACAGCTTCAAAGTTCAGGCAGGGAAGGCCCGGCTTGGCGCTGGATCCACCCGGCTGAGTAATCTCATTCTCCTCAGATGCCTTCTGGTTTTCAGCTGTCTTGGGTTTCTTCCTGAAAATAAACAAAGGGCCCTTTGAAGGAACTGACTGCATATTTGGGAAAAGGCATTTTTAGAATCTGTTAAAGATAACTTGATTTTTTTTTTCGGAGGGGGGTGGGAGGGGGGGAGCCCAGTATGTCCCTTGTTTTAAAACAAGCTGATTCTTGTTTTTTTTCCCCTCCAGTAATGGCCTAACTGGGAACACATGAAAGCATATGGGCCAAGCAAACAGCACCACATTTGGACTCTGTTGGCTGCATAAAAAGACCCTGTCCCAGAACTTTAGACAGCTTGAGCTACGTATGGCTGACATTATCCAAGAAAGCATCCTTTTTTCCCCCTTAAGAGTTTTAACATGGTCTGGAAAAATACTAGTGGAGGTTTACCGTTCTAGCATTTGTCAGGAAGCTTAGAGACAGGACCCGTGGAGTAATGGGAGGAGCACTGGACTGGGAGTCAGGAGCCTTGAGCTATGGTACTAGCTGTGCCTCTAACTTGCTGTGTGGCCTTGAGCACCTCACTTCACCTCTCTGGACTTCAGTTTCCTCATCTGTAAAATAAAGGGCTTGGATTAGAAGGCCCTAAATGTTCCTTGTGGTTTTAAGCTTCTATTCACGGAACACATTATGGAACATGGAACTTTCTCGCTTTTTAGACTTCAGATCAACACATAATTTCAGTCAAACCATAATCAGAATTTGCAATCAGCAAAGGGAAGAAAGGAAGTCATGAAGGTTTTTGTTAAAACAGCACAAGGAAGGAGAAAGGAAGGTCTTGTCTTCTGGTAGGCTAGGAAGGAAGATGTCACAAAGAGATCCAATTCTTTACTCGGTCTTGACTCAACCAAAGGTTGCATTTCTTTGTAATTTTTTCCCATTCTGATTTAGTGCCCGATGCTGGAGCGTCGGAGTAATGACTGCATGCTTGGGATGTGAAGAAGAGATGGATGAGGGGAATTAGAAAGTAATTGTTGGTAATTGCTATTTGGGGTTAGAAACAGGAAGGAAAAGAACTCAGCTGTAGGTCAGTTTGTCATCTCTGTCCAGGACAACACAACTGATAAAAATGAATATGCACTTAACTCACACCAAACACATCCTACACCCCAGCCAAACTGGATTATTAGTCATACCCTGAACATTCCCCTTGGTTTCCTTGGCCCCGTGCCTTTATGTTATGTTATTTTATTTTAACATTATAATGGATGGTAACCAGAGAAAGTATTCTTTTTTTCATTTGGTAGAAGATTATTTGTGAAACAGAAATTTCTGTAACTGGATTTGTTTCCATGTCTTGCTTATTTCTATAAACATGGCAGGAGGCTTGTCATATAGAATATTTTGCTTGGAAATCTGATGTACTAGGTAGTGAAATCTGCCCTCGCAGAATATGGTATTATGATTAACATTCCGGATTTCTGCTTCAATAGGTTGTGAAATCAAATCTGTTTTTTTTTTTTTCTGAGGACAGGAGGCAGAAAAGGCATGGTAAAGATGAAAATCACGGGGTGCTTTCAGGCACACATTTTGGGATGGAGAAGCCACTGTAAGGGAAGCAATAAACGGCACTGCTTTACCAACTGTTTGTTGAATGAGTGACTATGGTACTAACTCACCATCTTCAGTGTCTACATAGATCTCCAAGGAGCTGGTTTTCAGTTTAAGGAGGGACCTAGGATCAAAATTTCCAAAGCCCAACAATTTTACCTAAGAAAACTCACAATGTAAGCTTTCTATTTCTATCACCAGGTTTGTCAGTCGGGATAGAAAACTTAGAATCATATACCTTGCTCTGCCTGAAAGTCAACTAGTCAGGTTTTGACAATTCTATTTCCTTCATGTTTTTTTTCACATCTGTGTTTCCTTTCCATTTCCATTACTAGCACCTTGACGCTTTTTTTTTTCTTTTTGGGTCTCACCTGGCGATGCACAGGGCTTACTCCTGGCGGTGCTGGGGGACAATATGGGATGCTGAGAATCAAACCCCGGTTGGCCACGCGCAAGGCAAACGCCCTACCCGCTGTGCTATCGCTCCAGCCCCACACCTTGACACTTTTAATTTAGACTATAGTTCACATACTGGTTCTCGATCCTCCTCAGCTCCTCTGTTCCTAATTCTTTGCATTCACTAAATCTGAACTGACAACATGCGCTTGATATGCAAGGTCAAATTCCCATCTGTCCTAGCTCAGCTCGCAGGTCCTCCATGTTGGTCACACTGGTCTCCCACATTTCTTGAATTTTCTCAGAACATCCAGAGAAAATTCATTCTTTATTCTACATCCATGCTCATTTGTTGTGAATGTCTTTAAAAAAAAAATCTACTGAAGGTTGTCTCCTCTTGGAATTGTCTTGATTCCTCTCTCCCAGAAAGGACACCACTTCTTTTCTCCCTCTTCTCTCACTCGCTCTCTGGAATTCTTTTCTCTTTCCTTTCCTCTGAAATTTCCAGGAAATTTTTATTTCTCTTAGTTCACTTTGTTTCAAAGATTGTAATATGAGTGTTTGCCTTTTCTACAGGGCTGAAAACTGTTTGGGTAAAAAAAGGTAAGGTAAAGGCCCTCCCGTTGATCGTCGATTTGCTCGAGCGGGCCCAGTAACATCTCCATTGGAGACTTTGTTGTTACTGTGTCTGGCATATCGAATACTCTCGGTAGCTTGCCGGGCTCTCCGAGAGGGGCAGAGGAATCGAACTCGGGTCAGCCATGTTGGCCGCTTGTAAGGCAAACGCCCTACCCGCTGTGCTATCTGTTTGAGGGTAAGAAAATGTCTTGGGCTCTGGAAGAAAATCTCTGTATTCACTTACCTTCCTATCTACCATTCATTTAATCGCGTATTTCATTGACAAATACTTTAACTCTGCCTATGTGGTGCTAGAATGAGTGAGCGAATAAGTCTGGTTTCTGTCTTCCTAAGTTTGCTGTCTAGGATCTACCATTAAGCAGAGTAGCTTAGACAAAGCTGTCATTCAGTATATGTTTATTGACGGAATGAATTGGAGCTGAAATTAGCGTATATTATGAGAGTAGTCATAGTCTGAATCCCAATTAAGTTTCCTCCTCTCTATGCAGCAGTGAAATCACCTTGACTGGTTGCTTTTCCTTCGTATTTATGAAGGGTATTTCAAAGGATTATGATCATTGCGCTCACACAACTAGGCCGTTCCTCATGCATCATTTAAATATAAGGATGGAATGTTAATGACAGATATCACTTAACAATAAAAAAAATCATGGCACCAAGTCCAAGGCAAATTTCAGATATGTGCTTCAGGAAGTTAAGGAAGCCCACTCGCACATATAATTCAGGTCTAAATAGCCATGCACATAAAGATTGACCTTTAACATCACGGACATTCCATTGCTCTTTATAGCAGTGCCCTTGCTTCCTTCTTCCTCTGATACCCTCCATGAAGCTTCCTGCTTGTTGCCTTAGAGATCGCCTTGGAGGTGTGCCCTAGCACAGAGGCACTCGAGCCCTCGCTACAAAGACGAAAAACTTAAAACTTAATTTCTCAGCTCACCCACCTCATTTGCCTACCATCACTTTGTCTGTTTTTATACCACTGGGCTCTTTCTCAGCTGCAGTGACTACAGAAAGCCACCCACTGTCCTTCGAGGCAATTCATGTTCTCTCTCACCCTCTGTGATGGTTCTCTGGGATTCCTTTTTCTGGAGCCGAGAATTACTAAAATAGAGCAATGAACAATGTCTAGGAATGCATCAGGTAGTGTTATTTTGACCCGGTTTTTGCAGCTCATATTTCTTTAGTTTTTTTTTTTAGAAGGAAAGAGCAGGGCCTGGAGTAACTAATTGAGAATACCTCCTCTTGTTTAAATATTATATAAACATAGCACATCTGAGGGCCCGTCTCTCCCACTCTCTGTGGCCGTGTACTATTCCCTGGCGCCTGTAGAGGGCAGCAGTACACTGGCTGACTCCAAGCAGCCTTTCAGAGAGGCCAACTCCAGATCAGACTAGAACCTTCCTCCTGGTCACCATGCCAAAGGTTGGTCTGCCAAGCCCTGGCCGCTCAGCTCTCTTTCTTTTCAGTCTCTGTCTCTGTTTCTGTCTGTCTCTGTCTCTCTCTGCCGCCTCCTTCCTTCAATGTTAAAATTATACACTCTGATGAAGTCGCCCCTCAACCGGAAAATGAAAGCTCCAATGAGAAAGTTAGACAGGCCAACAACAACAAAGAAAGAAACCAGGAGAAAGGGGACTGTTGAGAGGGAAGCATTTAGGAACAAGAAAGGGGCAGATGTTTCGTAAATATATGCAAAGCAAAACTGGGTGGACCCTGGGTACTTGCACAGAGAGACAGACCAATCATTGTCCACTTCCGCCCTCCCCAGGGCTGGGGCTGTGCTTTCAAAAAGCAAAGTGTGGCCTGCAGGCACCTGCCTTTCAACGGTCAGTCCTGACGTTCTGACAGAATCTCTCCCAATTGTCCAGAGAAAGAACAAAAACATTTTTCGTCTCCCCATGGCAAACATTTCTGTAAGGAGAAAAAGGCTGCTCCAGGAACTGGGCAGGCAGCTGAAGGTGACTGGCGGCTGAGCTCGCCAGCAAGACCTTCTGCTTTTTCTTTTTTTTAATTTTATTTAACTCTCACTGTGCCTGGCTCTGACAAGAAGTTTTGGGCTAAAACCTAGTAGTGACCACGGCAGTGGCTAACGTTGCCTCTTTCCTCAGCAGACCAGATTGCATATGGAAAGAAAAATATGCATTGAGACATATTGACGGGATGGTAGATATTAAGCATGTTAAATGCATGAAGGCTAACGAGATCGGTGGCATTTGATGTATATATTTTACATGTCCCCACACATACTTGCACACATACAATATGGCAATACTTTCTGAAACATGTGAAAATAAATATTTTATTGGTGTGAGCTCTTATTGGTCTCCAAGGTCTGTTGAGAGGAGAATACACTCTTCTACCACCCTCTCCCAAGTTTTTCTCTTCACTGGGTCCCTATCCTCTCCTGCACATTAACATGCCTTCCACTTCTCAGCCTGGCTGAATAGCAAAGAACTAGTCAGATCCGCCTTTCGGTAAATAATTGACTTAGTCATTGGATCACAATAATTTAATGACCAGGGATGCCGCCCTCTGTGCCATCCTCAATCTTTCTGGAGTGGTAACTGTGCTGTCTTTTCTAATACATGGAAAAGTTTAACTATGGCCTTTTGGAGAAAGAGAGGAGTCAAAGGGAGGTGGCAATCACAGTGGCGTTGGTAGGTGATGGCAGAACCGTGCTCCACCATCTAGTCGCTAAGGGCCCTGATTCTATTATGCCTCATTTTCCTCATCTGTGAAATGGAAATAATAATGCCCCATCTCTTAAGACTGAACAGTGGATTCAATTAAATAACTCACATCAAGGATTTGTACAGCGCTACACACGGTCAATGATCACTTAAGGTAGCTCTTTTCACAGAGTGCATCAGGTCTGTGATTGTTTTTATCGCAGCTAGAAGGAGACACTTCCTGTGCTTTAGAAGTATTTTTTTTTAAATCTGGATTCCGTCAGGGACAAATATATTGTAATTACAGCTAAAGCGGAAAGAATGCTAGGGTAAGCAAGTTCTTTTTCAACACTTTGATACTGTGTGACCCTCCTGACTCATTCTGTTGATCTGTTTGTCACTGCTCTTGCTCTACCACGCGCTCCTCTTGAAGTTGAAGGTCAAGTAAGCTACACTTGGCCCATAGAGAGGGATCTGAGCGGAGCACTCTGGTCTATTCATCGAAACCAACCTTTGGCCCTTTTGGAGCTTATCATTTCTTCTTACAATTTATCCTTTCACCGCTTAGTCTAATGCTGTCAGATCAACTTAAGATGTTTCTATGATTAAAAAAATTTATTCTCTCGTTTTCTTTAACCTTCTTGGCAAGGCTGATTGCTGATGTTTTTTCGTGTATTTTCCCCTCACGGTAACAGTCAGGAGCCTGGCATGAAACAGATAGCACTCACAAAGGTTTCAGCTGAAGGGGGTTTAATGAAAGGACAGTGCGCTGAGGTACAGATGAGGTTAAGGGACCCTCAAGAGATGGCAGCACTCCAGGGACTAGCAGGAGTAGAAAGCTGTAGATCTTCGTCTTCAACTGTTAACCTGGAGCGACAAGTGAAGATGTGGGGTTCTCTAAGTCAAATCAGAACGGGAGTTGGCAAAAGGGAGCTGGAGTAATAGACACCCTGACACCTTCCTCTTGTCCAGGTCTTCTCTGGGCCCACCTTAAAGAGAGCCAGGGAAGAAGGGTGTTTGGGTAACATAGTCTAGGCTGGTCAATCTCCAGGACCACTTAACAGGGCAGAGAATGGTTTCCGTGTGTGTGTGTGTGTGTGTGTGTGTGTGTGTATGCATGTGTGTGTGCGTGTTGGGGGGGCTTCATCAGTATACGGGATTCTTATCTTTTTTCCCATTTCCCTCTTTGTCTCTCAATATTATTTTCTGGAAGGCAAGACTAAGCAAAATAAAATGAAATCAGGTCTTTCTTAGTTCATGTACCGATTTCATTTACTTGCCCATCTACAAGGGAAGAAAGCTGAGCGTGAGTCATGTGAGAGTAAGGATTTTAATTTATTTCATGCCTGCTAAATTTCTAGTTGTAGAATGGCACCTGGTACCATGTTAAAAAAAACAGTAGATTTTAGTTGATTGAGTAAACATACTCTTCTGTGGTGTGCCAACATTATACATATATCAAATCATCTTCTTATCACAACAATCCAGGTAAAGTGGGTAGAACCAATGAACAATGAACAAGGCTGTATTGGTGGTGTGGTAGTGGAAGGAAGATTTAAAATTGAATACTGTCCCAACCTGATACCAACAACCCCTGAGCCTTGAAATCCTACCCAGGCACTGTCAACTCAAAGGAAGGGACATAGTTTTATAATGAGAACACTTTATAAATAATGTGTGTATTTTGTGGCAATGGGCCATGTTCATCAGTGCTCAGGGGCTGCCTTGGCTTTGTGCTAAGTGTTGCTTGAACACAGAGCAATACTCAGGGAATCTTGGCATAGGGTCAGCGACATTCAAGGCAAATGACTTAACTCCTGTGCTATCATTTAGGTGCTATTTGAAACATTTTATTCACCTTACTGGCTTTTTCCTTAGCAAGTCTCATAAGTGTTGTCATTATTTGATCTTTATATAGGAGAAAGCTGAGTTCCTGCAAAGCAGACCCTGCAAGGATTAAAACTCTGCCTCTCCACTTCTTAGGGCTATGAGATGCGAGAGCAGACACTGGCAATCCATGCAGGTGGATAAATTATTGTCAGAAATGGATGCTCATTCATCAGCTGCCCTGTGCACTAGAACCTCAGGTTCTGAGTTCTGGATCTGGTGCTGGGTTCTCTGAGCACAGGAAGGAATGGGAAAGACTATTATCCTTTCCAAATCACACAGAAAACTTAAAACCAGTCTCTTCTAGTACACTGTAGTACTTGCACCAGCATAGCTAATCTACGGTGATGAGCAACTCAGAAAATTACCCAGATGTGGGAGTTTCTAAGGCATTCCTTACACTTGAACTTCAGGATGAGTGAAGGCTTTTACGTAAGTTCCTAGCCTGGGTCTAGAACAAAGAAACTCTGCTTTTGACGGCCTGTCATATTTTTACTCCCTAATTCCTCAAATCTTTAGAACAGTACAACACTGTCATGGTCTTTGTGTCTGTTCTCACCAGGTCTGCCCATAACTTACATCTCAATTACCATCAATTACAATCCAGGTGATTCAAAGCATGGAAGGTAAAAAGCAAAGCAATATAAGACAAAAGACAAAAACTTTAGCTTCAATGCCTTGGATCTGATTTACACCCAAAGAGCTAAAGACAGAGAAAATATAAAAGTTTAAAAGTCCTACCTGAAGCCTAAGTGCAGTGTTAGTCTCCCAGCTTTAGCGTTTCCCAGTACCAGAGAAGTCTGTAAAACACCATCCCATTACCTGCCTCAGACCGTATCGGGAAGCTTGTGAACACAGTAACTAGAATGAGTTCTTGTTTAAAAGTGTACAGTTAAGTTATTTTTATTTTGTAAGCATTGCCTCCCAATAATCTACATTTTTGGCTTTTCAAGCATTAATAAAATATGTATATTTTTACCTGTTACTTTGAACATTGATTAATAAACAGTGATATCAGCCTTTCTTCAGTATTCTCTCATAGGCATCAGATCTCCTAATTCAATATATTTTGGCCCCTGACCTTGCAAGACTGTACTTATTTTGCATAAACTGCCCGACCAACACCAAATATCCAGAGTTATGCATGCAAAGGGCAGAGGTGAGCTGATGTGGAGACTCGGAGACAGGACTGAAGGATCCCAGAGTGTAGAGGCAAAGACACTGACCGCACCCCTTAGCATGGCAGAGAGACAAACTCGGAGGCAGCTGAGACATTCAAGAGGGATGCTGGCTTACGACTTGGACCAGCATGGCACAAAATGACAAGTTGCAGTGAGGTGAAACAGAGTGGCACAGCTGGAAAATGAGAGGTAAAACACCAGGCAGGAGCTGCCACCACTTCAGAAAGAGCCTCTGATGTAGCAGCATAACAGCATCGGCCCTGCAAGTTGTGTTCAGGCCCAGCACAGCTACCTGGGAGGAAGGACCGATGCTTCAGTGAGCTTGGCTGTGGGTGGCTCAAGGACCAGGAGGTAAAGCCATCTCAGAGTTCATCTATTTTTACAATCATGTGCTGGCTATTGTTTTTTGTTTGCTTGTTTTTAAAGTTAAATAAAGTAACCGAAGGAGCCTTTCATGTTAGGCATGATGTACTCACAGTAGTTTCCAAATAAATGGTGTCACTCTTCAGGTAAATCACTCCAAGACTTGGGCCTAGTGCCGATGTTCATTGGGGCAGGAAACAGAGAGAGGCTGCATCTAGAGCATACAAGAAAGAAAAAATAAGAAATGAGAATTGCAAACCAGGGAAGCAAGAATAAAGAGAGTGCAATCCAGGCCCTGTCTGCAGTGCTTCTCCTTAAGTATCTGTCCAGACTGAGACCATCAACCGCAATCTCTGATTCTACAGATGATTTTGTGGTTTTGAGTTATAAGCTGAGGTAGAGGGTGAGCGTGAGGAAGGAAGGGCAGTATCCTTTGACTGTGTCACCGTAGACTCTTCTATCACTTGCAGTTTCCACCTCATTATTGCTCAGTTCTTACCCATTCTACAAGTGCCCGCCATGTTTCTAAGCTCTTACTTTCTCACTGCCCTTTCCTCTAAAATCTCCATGGGCCTTTCATCATGAGTTTGCCTACGAACCAAAGAAACAGTTACTGTTTATCTCAGATCCCCAAACCCAAGATATCCCTCCTTGGGCCATAGTTGAGTTCTGGATCACCTGATTTCCAAAACTTTTCTCCCTTCTCATGAGGACACTGCATTTTTCACCTTCCCTTCTATCTCTCTTACTTATCTCTTCTGCCTCCTTCACTGGCTCCTCTTCTTCCTCTGCTCCTGAAATGTAGCCAGTCCTTTTACCTACACCTACCGCCCATGATTTCAAACAAGCACTTCCCCATAGAGAACACCCATATAGCTATCTTTAAATTATGTTTTTGTTTATAATGTTCCAGACAAAATTTTCATAGCTATTGATTATTGCCTATTAATTAAATAGATTTTTTTTTGTTCATTTACTGTGTTTACAGAGCATCTAATAGGCACTGGGAAAAGAAGATTAATGAGGGCTGGAGCGATAGCACAGTGGGTAGGGCGTTCGCCTTACAAGCGGCCAACATGGCTGACCCGAGTTCGATTCCTCCGCCCCTCTCGGAGAGCCCGGCAAGCTGCCGAGAGTATTGGATATGCCAGACACAGTAACAACAAAGTCTCCAATGGAAATGTTACTGGGCCCGCTCGAGCAAATCGACGATCAACGGGAGGGCCTTTACTTTACTTTACTTTACTAATATTAAGATGTTCCCATCTTTATCAAATATTGTAAGGAATCTTTAACTCAGAAAGCCTAATATAGAATCCACTCCCTTTTTTAATCATAGCATGTTCATTTTTAATCATAGCATGTTCACGTTCATTCCCACTTCTTGTCATTAGTATCGTTATCTCTGTCCAGTTGCCTGGGGCTTACAGTTGTTGAGTCATCTTTAATTCCTTCTGCTTCCCATATCCAATCAGTTGTCTAAGGTGTTTACTAGGCTATGAATTGCGATTTTCTATGCACTGTAGCACTGTCCTCCCATTGTTCATCGATTTGCTCAAGCTGGCATAAGTAACGTCTCCATTGTGAGACTTGTTACTGGTTTTGGCATATGGAATATGTCACGGTTAGCTTGCCAGGCTTTGCCCTGGGGGCGCCATACTCTCGGTAGCTTGCCAGGTTCTCTGAGAGGGGCGGCGGAATCGAACCTGGGTTGGCACAGGTCAGCTTGCGTACAAGGCAAGCACCTTGCCACTATGCTATTGCTCCGTCCCGATTTTATATGATTATGTAGTAAACTATACACAGGTATGTACATATGTATTTGTTTTCACAGATTCCCCAAACCTTTGTAATATCCTGTGTTGAGAGTAATAAAGGTGTCTTTTGTTATGCAAATGGAGTTAAATATAGACCCCCCTACCTAGAGAAAGTGGTGGCTTGCTAACTGAACCAACCATGAGATTTGAGAGTTGGAACTTATATTTTCAGCCCTAACCTAAAAGAAAAGGTTTGGGAATTGTCTCAAAATAAAATTTAACTTCACTTGTGTCTCTTTAATGAAGCTAGCGTCACCATTGAAAAGGAGTTGGTTTGGAAAGCTTCCAGGTTGGAGAGCACTTGGAGATTTGGAGACAGTAGTAAACCTGGAAGGGCCTGGAAGCCTTAAGCTCTTTCCTCAGACTTTTTGTGATGGGCTGTTCCATCTGGCTGTTCCCAACTTAAATCCTTTCATCATAAGCACTAATCAAGAAAGTAAAATTCAGAAAATTCAGTATGTAAAATACATCCTTGAGTTTGATAGCACTCTAGCAGACAAATGAAAGACAAAGGGCAGTAGGGTGTGTGTGGGAAAGGGGGAGGGAGCGAGGGAGGGAGGGAGAGAGAAGAAACTCTAACGTATAGCAAATTGGTCAGAAATACAGGTTAAAAACTTCAAGTCCAAGGAGGGAATCCTTGGAACACTAGGTCAGAAGCCTAGTGACAAACCTGGTTTGTAATTAAGCCTGGAGGGGAGGTGGGTAGTCTTGTAAGTATAAGCCCTTAGTCAGTGGAATCAAATATTGTCCTCAGGCATCTATAGTGTCAGAAATAAGCTGAGTTGTAGGACAACTAGTTGAGATCTATAGGGTTGATTGTATGAGAGAAGCCCTTCTACACACATTGGAAATTTGGTTCCCAGAATACCGGAATGAACACAGACTTACTATCCTAATGCCTATTTATCCCTTTATCACCTATTACAGGTGAGAAACTCCTAACTGGCTTCATGTCCTCCAGAGTCTCTTGACCTCTAACACATCCTTCACCCAAACACTACATTAACGTATCTAAAGGATCATGATATGCCTGCAGTTTACTTGTTTTTTGTTCACTAGATCAAATTTGAATACCCCTGAATACCCCAATCTAACTTTCTGTTTTTATCTCTACAGGGCTGTAGTGATAGCACAGTGGGTAGGGCGTTTGCCTTGCAAGCGGCCTGAGCGACCTGGGTTTGTTCCTCCACCCCTCTTGGAGAGCACGGCAAGCTACTGAGAGTATCTTGCCCGCACAGCAAAGTCTGGCAAGCTATCCGTGATGTATTTCATATGCCAAACACAGTAACAAGTCTCACGATGGAGACGTTACTGGGCCCACAGTAACTCAAAGGGCTAGTGTATATGCTTTGTATACTGCAGGCCTGTGTTGGGTCCATGGCACCACATGATCCTCCCAGCACCTCTGGGAGCCACCCCAAGTGGAGCCAGAAGTAGACTCTGAGCACTGCCAAGTTGTCCCAAAAGCCAAAGCAACAAGAACAACAACATCAAAAACAAAAAACAAAAACCAACCAAACCTGGATCTGGGAGATAGTTCAAAAGGATGAAACAAATTCCTAGCATGCATGAGGCAGAGTTTGATCCCGGTATAAGCAGTGTAGACCTGGGTTATACCACTGGGCCTGAGCACCAAAAACATCAGGCCTAATTACTGTTGGAAGTGGTCCTGAGATTTCCAGAACAACTGGGGAGGCACTCCCAAACCAAATTAATACCTTTTCTTATTGGGCATTTCTTAAAATGGGTGATTTTACCTTTTGGGGTGTTGGAATGATCCAAGCTCAGAAAGTTCTTGGTCATAGCAATTTCAAATGCAATTAGATGATGCTTTCTATTTGTTCATTAAAGAAGGAAGATTTACTAAAGCAAAAAATATTTTTTTTGAGAAGGGATGGCAGGACAATAAGTTTGGCAATCTCTGTCATAGGTGACCCCCCCCCCACTATGAAGGTGGGATAAAGAATAAAAGAGCAAATTTTTAAAGAGTACCAGCAGAAGTATCTGTAATAATTGTGAAGATAATCCTGAATGATGAATTCAGACTGAGAACTAGAGAGAAGACAGTGGTTTTAACTGAGATTCTTGACAACACTATTCAGTGACTCTATGACTAAATCATTAGTATATAGAAACAGGCTACCTGCACTCTTGGTCCTATACCACCATCCATATTCCTTTATCTACCAATCTTTGCACAGAACTCACTAGATTTGTTTAGTTTTTTTTTTATTTGACTAACTTACATGCAGAAATTCATAAACTACTGCTCCCAAACCTATTTTAGCTTTCTTTCCTTTTCTCTTATGGTAGAAAAATACATTAACTGTGTAATCATTTCTCTAGTTAAAAATCTTAACTAGAATTAGAAGAACAATCCAACAAAACATGTTCTGGGGGATAACAGTGTAGCCTAGGTGAAGAAAAACAGATTCCCCACCCCACCCCTGATCAATGAATCTCAATATTGTCCAAAACAGGTCAGATCTTATGTGGTAGTCCACAAAACTACAAGATTCTCCTAGCTCTCCCAGGTTAACTCTACTCATTGTAGAAGAAAAATGTAGAATCATCAGTCATATTCATTTTTGCTAGAACGGTAGAAGCAGACACTGCAAGAAAGCATCCATTAAACAGCAACCAGTATTCTCCCTAAAAAAATGCCAGTAGGCGAAGCTTTTCTTAGTTCTTTCAAAAACCATCAAATGACTGGACAAACCAATGTCACCAGAGTTTCTGAGCTTCCTTGTCTCAGACCCTAAAGAGCATTAAGTTGAAAAAAAAAACTAATCATTATGTCTAGTACAATGTAATACAATGCCGAAGAAAATCACCTGGAAGCACACAAATCCATTACATAATTAAATAAGTGCCTAACGTATCTTTTAAACTATGCATTTTATAATTAAAACAATTTCACAGTCCCTATTCTTCTGCTACTCTTTTCCTTTTAGTTCTTGGCAAACTGTCATCTATCCCCTTCTTATTGTTTCTCCATTGGCCTTAACACACCTGAGGAACTATGAAGAAGAACCACCACCTGCTGTGCCAAGTTGTATTGCTGCACCCTGGAAAAAAACCTCAAGGAGGTGTTGTCATAAGTTTTCCTATTTACTCTCTCCCAGTGCATCCCATCTCCAATGCATTCAGTTTTGACATCAAGAGATAATATTGAAAGGTGGTTGGGGCCACACATCCTTCCTAGAACCTGAAAATTCAGCAATTCTCTCTGCCTCTTACATCATCACTGTCATAGCTGGCAAAGTTGTTGATGGTGTCAGAGGCATCGAGGTGGCAGGTCATTTCCCTTTCAGCAGGCGGTTACTGTGGACATCTCTGCAGTTCTGTCCTGGAAGCCCTTTGAGAGCAGGATTGTTTTGTAACACATTGGCATCTA